TGTTTAAGGATTATTAATTGTTCTGTAAACCTACCTTTGGAATATCTGTTACATCCACGGTATTACCAGTATTCGAGGTCACCTTTTTGTTCACTCCCTGATCGGCTGGTAGAAGGATCAATTCACAACGTAGACTTGATGGATACATATTAATAGACTCACAAGCAGCAAACGACAAACATGTCTTCATACATAAACTGTACGACGTTTCAAACAATATTTTAAACACATCTCCATCAACCACCGTATTTCGTTTGACCACTGCGAGATCAATGTGACGACATGATGAGGATACTTGTCCGAAAGACGAGATAAAACACAATATGATGGTCAGTACTTGATGAAATTTCATTTTTTCTGATCGTCGATTGAATGTAGAATACACAAGTAATTCTAATTAATCGACACAATAAGGCCTCTCAGAGAAAAACACTTCTTGTGTCGTGAACATAAATCCATTTAATGATGTAAATGTTAGATTAACTGCAGTCTCATAGGGATCATTTGTAATGTTCGTTCAGTGATGTTGGATCCAAACAGGTATCCGTCAGATTAATTATAAATAAAACGCCACATCACACTAATGATTATTTCTGAAATACTAAACTATAAATTAATTTTTTTTTCCGAAACGTACATAAATTAAGTGTCATGAAGCTTGTAATTATATCTAATCTAGACCGTAGAATGTAATGGAAACCATTCCAGTGATATGATCTGCAATCGATTGGAAACGTGTTGTTGACAAAACACGACCCAACTAGGAGAGCTCTGCATCATTAGAATTTAATTCGAATCACGTTACAAACAACGCTAACCAGACAAAGATGTAACTTTACCAATACAAATAGGACAGATACCGTTTCATACAGACAATTATCTAATTTATTTTTTTAATTTTTAAAATATAGGGATTGACCACAAATTATTTGATTTATATAAGACATGATTACAATCATATTTTTACAATTCGGCAGATGCCAAACTGATATATAAGTAATATGTATATATGTAATCCTTACTTCGCAAAATGCTATAATCACAATCATAGTCTATTTCATAATATAGATTATGTTACTAGAATTGGATGAAAATTCAGTAACTATTCTTGTTGCCATCAACAGTTCACAACAATTCTCTAAAGGTGACAGTGTAAATGTTCTATAAATTTTGTTCTACGTCTGGCGAATTAAAATATATTTTAACCTTGGGAAAATGCTTATTTGCTTCACAGCTTTTTTGGATATATATTCGATATGATAGTTCCATTTATATTTGGCATCGACAAATTCACCTCAAATGCTTATAATGTTAAACAAATCTACACTAATATTATTGGCATGTTCTAAATCCCTGTTAGAAATCAAACAGAACTTCTATTATTTTGATAAGATTTGACTAACAATTTTTGCCCATGTTTACATTAAAGAAAGATCATTATTAATTTTATTTACAGTAATTAGTGGTGATTTGTTTCGACCTATTCCATTCATTATTTTTTTGTTGTTTTTTTATTTTTTGTTTGTTTGTTTGTTTGTTTTTTGAAAACTGTTTGACAAACTTACAGTTGCTGTTCACCCAAAATATTTACATATTTTTGGCTAAATATATGTACCTCAAATATTGAAAATGTCATTAAATTCTGGAGCAGGTAAAATTGTTTTTTGAAAATATGAAATGTCTATCAAAGCGGCATTCCGTGCATCCTTGATGAATCAATAAGGTGGTGAACTGGTGAACTTTGCCCATTAGCCACCATGTACACATTTTATTGAATAAGTTGGTATACGGTTGGGTTTCGTGTCTGAAATCCTTACTGATATTTATAAACATGTGAATTTTCTATGCAATAACTATGTAATTAGTTAGTGACTAAAACCTTACCAATTGTACTAAGCTATTAAATAGGACTATAGTTAGATGGGTATTGTCTGTTTACTGAGATATCAAATAGGACGATAGTTAGATGGGTCATGTCTGTTGTACTAAGCTATTAAATAGGACGATTGTTAGATGGGACATGTCTGTTGTACTAAGCTATTAAATAGTACGATAGTTAGATGGGTCTTGTCTATTGTACTAAGCTATTAAATAGGACGGTAGTTAGATGGGTCATGCCTGTGGTACTAAGTTATTAAATAGGACGATAGTTAGATGGGACATGTCTGTTGTACTAAGCTATTAAATAGGACGATAGTTAGATGGGACATGTCTGTTGTACTAAGCTATTAAATAGGACGATAGTTAGATGGGTCATGTCTGTTTTACTAAGCTATCAAATAGGACGACAGTTAGATGGGACATGTCTGTTGTACTAAGCTATCAAATAGGACGACAGTTAGATGGGACATGTCTGTTGTACTAAGCTATTAAGTAGGATGATAGTTAGATGTGTCGTAACTAGAGCATGTTTCCAAGCTCTAGAAAAATTTACGATATCTAAAGAAGTTCGAAAAAATATCAGATAACGGCACAGAAACCGAAAGAACGGTCCTTGTTAACATGTCATTACTGATGGTATGAGGTCCTACTGCTTTGTCGATATTGAAGTCGATGATGTCATCTGTCTTAAAATGTATATCTGACACAGAGGAGTCCGTTCTATTGTCCATAGTCGTTTACATCAATGTGACAGATGATTAGAAGTACAGAATTGAGGATATTGGCCACAGAATGATTCAGAGAGCTCTTTTAGGGCATCGCATACCGAAATGTTCATATAAAATCAACACAAAATCGAAACTGGGAAAGGTTTGAGTGACTAGTTGCTTTGGTTTGTTCTCTTTGCCTTGCTTTGAAAACAAGAACTGCATTGCTTGTTATAATTCCTCGTTAACTGGTGCGATTATTCCTTGGCGCAAGAGTTCATCCAACTGGTGTCGCAAAACACCGTGCTTGTCAGGCTTGCAGTGACAAAACAACTCTTTATGTTTCAATTTATGAATATTTATGAGCTGCAGTTGATCCTGTGCAAACAAATAAGAACGTATGTCAGTTAGAAAAAGGGCCATCTGATTCACTATTCTGGCTGGCGCTGGGTTGGGTATTTTGAATAAAATTATCTGACAAATGAGAACTTTCATCATCAACCGACGTGTAAGCAAAGTGAATCAGGGTTGTTTCTTCTAAACTGGTTACCGGGAAGGACGAAGCATTCAAAACTTTGATAGGAACATGGAAGAGCTCGATAGATCTTTGGGCTTTCGAGATAGGAATGTAATGAATACAATAGTGCACACAAAATTGGTCATTGTGTCGGCCGGTGGGTTTTCGACAGGTAATTTGCAATATCGTTTGTTAATTGATTATTCAGTTAATTAGCTATCAACAAAATTTAGTCGGCATGTGAGCTTTCAACTAATTTCATTTCTTTATGGGTAACTTGGCGAAACAGACAAAACTTACTCCTGTCACACATTTGCGATCAGAAGACTGTTTGGGATGAAGGCAATCCTACCATGTGACCTGAGGTATGAAGGGCCAAGTGTGCTCTCGTTCGCTGATTGTTGAAAGGCGAGATGTAGTCGTTCAGCTTCATAACAAATTCCTCGAACTCTCGTTGATGTCCATAACATAATGTTGTGAGTTTTAGGTATGATTTTTTTAGGGTACTCTGGAACATCTCGGCCTTAAGGTGGAATGGTGGCGAAAACAAAGATTGCTAATGAATTGATTTTGAGAATTTGTTGTTCTATCTCCAAAACTGTCGGAACAATATATTAAACACAGTATTTTGCTATGTTCAAAACAATATGTAATGTTATCACGTGGTAACGCAGTGTCGATCCTCGAGTAACGTGTAAGGACAATTCGCCCCAGCGAAGCGATAATCGCTAAATAACGCAATTTGTTCGTAATGAACAGTCAGTAATCATCTTATATTTTTTTTTAAAAACTTCGGACACAAACTTAGGATTCTCTACCGTGTAGAGTTTGAGGGAAGGGATGGATTTAGCTCAGAATTAGATAAAATTAACAGATTAAATCAACTCTTGTTTCGGTCCACGTGATCGATGTTTCTTCAAACTCCCAACTAACTACAATTTCTCCTCCTAAAAACCGAATTCTTAAGGCAACTTATTGCTAAAAGACTGACAGAGTTATCGCCCTTCCCCAAATTCATAGATCAGTACCATACGAATCATACATATTACAATATATGCTACAGCGAAGAAATTTTACTTAGCAAGCCTTGCTGTGTTAACAAAAAATTCTCAGGCAGTAAAAAGATAATCTTTTCAAAACAAACAGCAGTAGCAAATTTAATAAATTTCAAATTAACTGTGGTAACTTAGATTAGTTACAAATATTTCTGTTAACTTTTGGTATTTGTTAAACGAAATTCATGAATAACCTATTTGCAGCTGATATACCACCCTAAATTGTAAACCACTCTCAGGAAGGAAATCAACTTTAAATAATGATAAAAAGCATTTTTTTATAGTTTTAAGTAAGTTTTTGTGATATCTCACTTCAGTATTATTTTTGTTACCAAAGTGAGATCATCTATAGCTGCTTTAGTCAGGCGTGTCATTGCTAATTGTCTGTGATGATTAAATGACAACTTCACGGATCAGTGATCAAAAAACTAACGCCAGAGAAGTCACCTCTGGGCCTAGCTTCTTATCCTTCACTATTACATCCATGGTCTGAATGAGAATTAACAGATTTACACACTGCAGCTGTACTTCCTCAAACCATGGAAGTTCTCTCTGTTTCAACATGTTATGATTTGAACAAATCATGAGACTGGGTGAACTTTTAAAACCGATTAACAAACAAATTGTCAGTTAATTTAATCGTTGGTTCAATGACTTAATTAATGATCTATGATGTATGTATTATCCCTCTAAAAATTCAAAAGATTGTGGAAAACACCATTTTGACTGGCTGTAGTCACTCATTGGTATTAAAGTGATTCATCAAGTCTTTCAACATTAGACAGGTTTGCAGGGAAATATTTCTTTCCGAAATAAATACACAACACCTTGTATCCATCATTGTTTTTGTCATTTTTTATTTAATTCTTATTCAATAAATGTTCAATAAATTTAAAGCAAATTATCACAAAATCTACATGTTACCAATAGTAATATGTCAGAAATAGAGAATGGCAAGTTAGGATGTATAGGAGGTTCTCACCACAAGAGAGATAACTATTTGTTAATATCAGTAGATACACCTTACACAGAAAATATTGCAGTGGTTTCATTATTCATACAAAGAGGTCATCCCTCAATCTTCTCAAAACAGTCCGATCAATTTTCCAAAACTTTTACTTATATGTATTATAACCAGAGAGGAAGCTGGCCTTCCTCCTGTAAGTATACTCAAGCCGTGTATGGTGTAAAGATCAGAATATTGCATACAATTGTGAAAATGTGTGAACAAATTCTCCCATAGTCAGACTTTATTGCCGAGAGATTTATTCTCTTTTGATGATCTGAGAATGTCTATACCAAAAATTTGTTCCAGAAATCAAAACGTATCTATAAATAAGGATTCTCTGTCCACATGGTGGTACCGTTTTTGGCACAATACCTTAATACACCATTACATTGTCTGGATATAATGAACATGGTCACATGTAATAAGTTCCTTTTCTATTAAATAGCATGCATCGACAATGCATAAAGTGCCAGATAATGTGTAAAACACCTGTTGAAAAGCCACCTGTTGATAAAAACACCAGTTAAAAAACTATTGAATGTGTAAAACACATGCTAAAAGTGCGAAACATTTGTAAAACAAGATACAACACTTTTAAAATGTGTGCAACACCCATTAAACATGAAAAACACAGGTAAAACATGAGAAACATGTGTACAACTTGTAATACATTTGTAAAACATGAAATACATGTAATACATTTGTAAAACATGAAATACATTTGTAAAACATGTCAAAAGTATCGGAAGAGGATTTTTAAAAACACAGAAGAAAAACAGTGACAAGTGACCTGCACTTTGACACTCCACATGGATTAAATTTCTATGGCGATCGACACAGACTGGAGCACCATACATATGACTAACAGTTACAATTGTTTGTTTGAAAGTTACAAATTGACTATATCACTTAAAAGTAGAAAACCAGAGTGGATGGTTTAAACCAGATCAGGTAAAGAGATGGAACTGTACTGATAAAATACAACAAAAATGTGGAAAGTCTACAAGATGACTTGCATAATATTCAGATCACTTGGGCTAAAGTAAAACACAGAACATAGATATAAAAAAAATTATGTAAAGTTGCATCACAACATCTGATGATAAAATAGCGTAACACTCATATACTGAATTAAAAATAAAGAATTATTTATATAACACACATGAACAGTAACACACAAGCTCTGCTGCATATATCACTATATATAATTACCAACTAGTGCTAAACGACTTACATACTATATACCTATATATATATAGTCAACACTCTCAAACCTCCTGATTTTGTACGGATTCATTGGAAATCAGGGTGAGAGAGCCCAGACACCCCTACAAATCTACAATGGATTCTCCTATGGCTGATCCATTGTGACCTGCAGGGGTGGATGTTTACACTAGCTGTATACTTGTTTAGGAAAAAATTGAATCCATTTTCACTTTTTTTTCTACTCAAGTATCTTATTTTTGTGTAACTGGACATTCCTACCCAAGGTCAAGGATTTTGTTGGACATTCCAAATCAAGGTCAAGGGTCAATTTGGACACTACCAATCAAAGTCAGGGTCAAATTGGATACTCTTATCTCGTGTCATAGGCCTAACTGAAAGCTCTAAGTAATTTATTCTTAACTTTGTTTTAGTATTACTAACTACTTAATAAATGAACTGCCTAGGATTAGGAACTGGACGGAGATAAGAAGCTTTTGTGGGACTAAATCAGGGTATTCTTTTCACTCATAAAGGTCATGAACTTAAGTACACTGTTTGTGACCTTGACCTTTTGTAATCATTCAACCCAGTTTGTCTTTTACAAAAATAAATCAATATATCTAGTTATGAGAATGTATTGGTTTTTTCCCCTACCCAATTCCACACCTCCAGACTTATTGATGGGTTTAACATCAGTGGTTATCGTAAGTCCAACTATCTCTTATAAAACAAAGTCATGAAAGCTGCAGGTAACACATTAGCCAAATGAACCATATATGCACAATAAGCTGTTTAAAACCACTGATTGGTATTTCACTGTGTTGCTGGAAATCCTGCACATTCTATAATTATTGATTTTTATATGGCCTTGACCCGTAACAGGGTCAAATCAATGACCTTCAACAGTAATTATTTATAGCATGTTACCCTCTGTCACTTTGCAAATATTTGAGTAGTAACTAGGATAAATATATGGTAACAATTTAAAAATTGTAAAATTCAATATATAAGCAGTCGCATATTCTTGCCAACAAAAAAGCAATTACGGTTGACTGCGCTACATGCTACCGTAAAAACAATATTCAATCCAAGATGGCAGATTAGTGGTACAAAGTATGTACACTAGACATGTGATAATGTAAATATTCAATGAGTCTCTATCATCTATATCTGACATGAGATGAGAGTATATTTTGGCACAGTAAATATGTAATGTTCTACTGGACAATTCCTTTATCAAGAGTTAACAAAAATCTATATTGTACTGTAATTGAGTATAAACATTCAAGTAATATTTTACGTCTATTTTCGTTACACAACTCTCGAGAAAAGCAAGTGTATACTTTTACTCATTGACAATATGAATTTACTTCTAAAGTTTGAAAACATCAGATTTCCAACCTTCAGGAGTTTAAATAATCAGCAGACTAACGTTAATCCAGTTTAATCATCGAAGTGCTTCATATTGACAGTAGAAGATAAAAACTATGATTGCTGTTGTAAGGCTGTAAACATATATGTAAACACTATCTGATTTTGAGTATTTTAAATAAGCCTTCATTCCAGTCTTTCTCACGAACTACTGATTTCAAAGATGCACTGACCTTTGACCTCTGAGTTATTAAGATCACACTACAAGCATAAATGCCATCCTGTTGTGACAATTGTAAAATATTGAAGGATGCAAAGGTCATCAACTGTCACGTAAGCCGCCAATAAATTCCAGCCGGGTCCGTTTCCTCTGTGATCGCCAATACTTCTATGAACATCAGTTTTGTTTTCTCTACATGTAACAGTGATGCAGTCATGTAGGTCACACAGAGATTACTGTTCCGATGTCTGTTTGGCCTTGTTGGCCTCATGATTGTGGAGTTTGCGGTAGAAACTCTGTACGTATGTAAATACACATTTCCAGTCGGGGTTCTTCATGCGTACCATGTCTTCTACATCGAGAAGTGGAGCAATGTCTGCTAACTTCCTGTAAAGTATTTTTGTAAAACAGGTTTTAGTCATTGGTTTTTAGTCTCTTATCTCCAGAAAAAAGAAATCTTAATCAAAAACTAAATACAGGGCCATAACTCTGTATAAATTAAGCCACAAAAACGGTTTCTAGGATATGATACTTGGCCATCGGAAGAGTTACTTTCATTCTTGCTTGTAAGTTCAGTAAGAGAAGTAACTACCTATTTTGCTGTGTTTTTTTTTTTTTTTCTTTTCTTTTCTCGCTGGGGCAATTTCAAATACTTCATCAAAATTGCAAATTAAGATTTTAAACAATTTAATAAATAACGTGATAAATTGGAAATAATGATGAAACTCATTAAGATATGAAATTAAAAAAGAACAGCCATTAAAACACTAAGGGGGATAAATCAAACATGACTTCAGTGTGAGCTCATGTTAAGGATGAAGTTCTCACAATGTTTAACAAAAGATACAAGGGTATGATGACAAGATTTAGAAAAAAAGTATCAGTCTTTTTATCAGAATCACTTGATGTACATGTATTCTTTTGACTAGCGACAAAGTGATTTCAGTTAACCCACCAACTTTGCCATGGAGACAGAAATGAAGTATAAAAATATGGCTCAAATTTATGTAGATACTAACTCTGCTGTATCGAACGCAAGGGTAAAGTTGGCCCGTCTGGCTTTGGGGTTCAGCTTGGTGATATCGAATGCATCAGGGTAAAAATTGTGGATCAGGGCACAAAATGCCATCCCATTGTTCCAACTGCTGGAGAAATTTGTCACCTCAATTCCCTAAAATGAAAATATAACAAATTAAATTTTCTAATCATCTTTGTGTTTTTTCAAAACAACTTTCCTATAAATCAAATGATATGATTTTATTAAATTATTTTACCATCTCAGGTGTTACATCACCATGTGAACTATCAATCAGAGAATTAATGTTCAAAGAGATAATTTAGTCTTAATTAAGTAAAGCGTTAAACAGTATAAGTTTTCTGCCAATTCCAATGTGACAGGAAACTGGGTCTTTATCATCACAATCACTATAATGATTGCAATTATTTTGTATTAATAAAACTGATATTATAATAAATTGTATCATGACTTCTAATTTATATTACAAGAAATAAAGTTAACATTGCAGTTGTTACATAAAATCTTCAAATGAAATATCTGTACATTTGTTTGTCAAGCTTGACTCTGAAAAAGAATATTACATTCCTGGCAGCTACCTCTACCATCAAACTACGGAGTACTAAGCTTACTAATCATGCAATTTAAACATCAGCAATCACATATCCATTTCTCCAAAAGCAATTTGCTTTTTTGAAATATTTTTTTTATTTTCCAGCTAATTGCTGAGGTATAATATGATATAAAAATTCCTTTCAGCAGGAATCTGTTAATATTTAAAACATTTGTAAACAATCTGACCCAACAACCATTTGTATAACCCATCAGGGAATTATTTGTTTTCGAAATCCAAAGAACAATCTAGGTCATATTGTTATTGCACATCTGAAGGCAACTTATTTAACAAAGAACCAGCTAGTCTATGTATAGTCTTCTCTGTTGAAGGTTCTGATACAATATTTCTTTGATAAGCAATCTGATAGTATCTTCATACTGAAAACAATATTCATTTAATGATATGTAAGAATAGGTTTTTAATGTAACAAGCTACTATGGATTATCTTTTGATCATCTTCTGTAAATCATTATTCTGAAATACACCAGCCCATTTACTTAACATTATTTCTAAACAGATTGTACTTAAAACAAACAGATACAATGTAAAAGATTGAACCCAGCCTGTTAGGATAGCAAAAGGCATACCATACAACCAATCAAAGTACAGGTGTTTCCTGAAGATTCCAGAAATGAACCTTAACCAGAAATCTACAGATTTAAAGAGAATTATCACATTGTTCCCCCACAATCACTACCTGTAACTTCCACATGAGAATTTGGTGTACATGCAAACAGCGTTTTTTCTGAATAACACCGACAATGCAGCTTTTCATGCGCAGAAAAGTTTGACAGATAAACTATATTATACTAAATCTGGATTAATACTTGTATATCCTTATAAATACTACAGATTTTTTTATAGCAGAAAACTTGGAGGAATCATTTGCTTGTCAACATGCATCAAGCCAACCTTGTAAGAATAACATGCACACCTTAAATATTCCAGGAATGTGTCTATATTTATAACCCCCATTAAAACATGGAAAGCATTTTTTTTACCAACCGACAGTTAAGGTTTGAATTTCTTTTACCAATACTGTTGAATATGGCTACATTGAAAATGTTTTTTTTTTACACTTGGTTTTTATGCAAATCATTCTTAATAAATGAATTATTTACATATTTCAAAATATTTTCTTTAAGATAGTAATGTCAATAAATAAGAAGTTCTATAATATCTGAAGAAGGTGAAGGTGTTGTCATTGAAACATCACACTTAAATTTTCTACTGGTTGAACAACTATTGTAATGAATTATTTGTTAAATATATAAAAAAAAAATCTTTGGGAGATCGTTGTGAAGTTTTTCAGTTCTGTGTATGATTTTAATTTATTTATCGTTAGTTACAATATGATATTTTACATGCAAAATTATTTTCAGCGAGTTTAAGATATCAAAATAAGATAATTATCAAAATGAAGTAGTAGAATTTATTTTAAAAGCAGCGTGAAAATTTCAGAGCAGAGAACACATCAATGGTTGACAAGATAGTGAAAAACCTACAAATCACAATTCATTTCAGTGAGCATGTGCAAACTTAAGTAGTTTTGATTACAGATCAGTACACCACAGCCAAATCACATCTTGTGTCATTCCACTACATAACATAACACCATTCCTGTTATAGATTAAGCCATGCCATTCAGCCACATCCCAGAAGATTATTTTGTCGTAAGTCATGTGACAACATCATCGTTATACTGTAAATGTATCTAATACCACAGACATTTCGAACTTAATGCTTTATTACAGTTTATTTTTAGGATTTTGTGATCACACAAATTCTTTTTCAGTTAATTAAAAAATCAATCAAACTTGAGACTGACACAATTTTTTTTCTCTCAATATAACAATAAAAAATTTTCATTTTTTCTTCTAAAATTAGCCCTTATGGTGTAGTTATCTTTTCATAAGATCTGAAAATTTTTCGTTTTAATTTTTCTCAAAAAATAGCTAATTATTTTTCTTTTCTGAATATAGCCATAATGAAACCTATCTAAAGACAGATCTTTTCTTTTATAAATTAGAATAGATTAAAAAAAAAAACCCCACAAAATCTGGATTTGTGACTTTTTTCTTCCTTTACATATTAGGAGGTGGAAAGTGTAAATGTGTGGATATTGATACATGTTTACAGTGTCGAGTCAGTGTCAATCATGACACCATGACAACAGACAAGGATACCTCATAATGGTTGATTTTAGATTTACACCACTCCAACAACATAGTTTTGATGGCACTGGGACTACGCATGACCTTGCCTCCGCCACCTCCCCCGCGACCTTGAGCCGCCATGAAGCTTGCAGGAGAAAACAGTAGTGTTCATGTGATAATAAGGTGTATAAATAATAATATGCAAAACCAAGAGGTTGACAGAGGTCACATGAGGTCACCAGAGGTCACCTTTGGTCTCCATCTTTGCAGCAACAATTTGCTATTGGATTCAACAACAAAAGTGGGAGTCAAATGTGTAATGCTTGCAGGGTAGAGGTTGAACTTTGACCTCGGCACTTTGATAAGACATTTATTCCTGATAACGTAGAGTTCAAAAGTTGCTTAATCTTAAAATTATTTCTAAAGGAACTTATACAGCCACATTCAGATATCAAACATGATGGCATCTCTATATCAAAAAAATTAGAATTTTAACAAAAACTATCCCGTAGGAAATTTTAATGACCCTTCAGCATTACAGATTTGATAAACAATATAAAACATGCACCCTGAAACAAGAGGTTCCAATAAAGTGAAGCAAAAAAATGGTCTTGTAGAATTTTGTGATGACAGATCTGTAAAAGAAGTAGAAATAATTTTAGTGAATTTTTGACAGCTATCTGGCAGGTTAAAGGTGACTGGACACACAAAGTGGGAAACAAAGCTCATGCAAATGGTTAGCAGGTGGATACGGCAGTATTGATAATGAGCTCAGGTGGACACAACAGTATTGACAATGAGCTCAGGTGGATGTGACTGTACATTTACTGACAATGAGCTCAGGTGGATGTGACTGTACATTTACTGACAATGAGCTCAGGTGGATGTGACTGTACATTTACTGACATCGAACTCAGGTGGATGTGACTGTACATTTACTGACAATGAGCTCAGGTGGATGTGACTGTACATTTACTGACAATGAGCTCAGGTGGATGTGACTGTACATTTACTGACAATGAGCTCAGGTGGATGTGACTGTACATTTACTGACAATGAGCTCAGGTGGATGTGACTGTACATTTACTGACAATGAGCTCAGGTGGATGTGACTGTACATTTACTGACATCGAACTCAGGTGGATGTGATGGTGAATATACTGACAATGAGCACTTGACCATGTGGACATGACAGTGCATGTACATACATAGAGCTGACAGACAGCAGGTCACTAATCCCTACTCAGTGACTGCTTGTTGATATTGAATGGTTGAAGGTGCAATGATAATGACTAGCATGTCAATGGCCACTTCATTAGGGTTTGTCAGAATATCAAAAAAGGATTTTTCAGTTGTGTATCTTTATCTAATTTATTTAAGAAGAAAAAGCAGACTATATGTATATATAGTAAACTGTTAAAATCTAAACTGATATACATAGAAAAAATATGAAATTATGTTGTTAAAAACATAATTGATAAGATTTCCACGGTAATATTAGGTTGTTACTTTCAGTGTTTTGATTATAATGTACCCAGTCATATAAATATGATGTGTAAGTTGTATTTCATAAACTAGACAGAAAATACGAGTACAAAGAAGCTACAATGTAGTGTTGATATGTTTAACTGAAATTGTACTATAAAAACAGCACACATGTTAGCAGGAGATGGATACAAATAATGGTCTGGAAAAAACGGTGAGTGAACACTAACTAGATCCAATAAAAGTAATTTATTGACTCGGTATACCTCATACGCTTCCGTGTTCTTTCTAACAAATGAGAGAATTTCCTGTTTGATAACAGCAGCGTTTCTGCGCATCGTCGTGGCAGCCTTCTTTGCATATGATACAGCCAATAAACCACTGATAGTTAAAAAACACAACAATACATATGTCACACAAACAAAAGGTGTTTAAACTGCCTACAGATTAACAGGTGTCTTATTCAGTCTTTCTCTCCTATGTTTAAATTTCTTTAACTTTCATTTAAAAAAAAACAAAAAACAAAAAAAAAAAAAAAACATCAATACAACTTTTTACTGCAATTTTTGTCTTCAATCTGTAAGCATTTTAAGCAACTGGACATACACAACAAAATTGTTTAGTTACCGGTATTATGCAAAATCAAAACATACATTTTGTACATAGATATAAAACTGACAACTGTATGATATCTTGTATGTATATATACATAACATGATCACTTACTGACATACAAACTACCTTAATATAACATTCACTCCTTGTCAAATCTACATCAAAGGGAAGCAATTTAGGACAAGGGAGACTATTCTATGATATGGAATAATAACTTCTGGCATTTATAGTGATTATTATAAAGTCTGAGTACTTACCATGTGGGTGAAGTGGATAACCCCAACATTAATGACACTCAGGACAAAGGGGAATAAGGGGGACTTAAGTCTAGCATCAAGGACACTCAAGACTAAGGGGACTTAACTCTAAGATCAAGGACACTCAGGACTAAAGGGACTTAACTCTAAGATCAAGGACACTCAGGACTAAAGGGACTTAACTCTAAGATCAAGGACACTCAGGACTAAGGGAACTTAACTCTAAGATCAATGACACTCGGGATTAAAGGGACTTTAGACTAAGATCAAGGACACTCGGGACTAAGGGGACTTAAGTCAAGCATCAAGGGCATTCTGGACTAAGGGGACTTAACTCTAGAATCAAGAGTTAATTATTAGTTTATTAACAGCTTTTACATTCATTATTACTACCCTTTGGCCTTTCAGAAAGGTTTGGTTTCATATTGTTTAACATCCTACAGAACATGAATGACACTCTAAATTCATTGGAATTAATTTTAATCTTTAGGGTGTTTATGTGAAGAGGAAAATCTCTAGGACAGAAAAAATGTTGATAGGTGTTGATTCCAGAGTCAAGAGCGATAAGTTAATAGAGTGATAATCTCAGGTCCAATAAGTATTAAGGGTGATTAGCTTAGAGTAGGGGAGACAACTCAACTTTCACTGAAAGTTCATGGACATTAATTCCATTGTCAAGTGTGATTAACTTAGGGTTGGGGAGACAACTCAGCATCCATTAAAAATTCATCATCATTAATTTTTCTAGACTTAACTATAACATATATGTCTATACTTTTTACAAATTGTGGTACAATATCTATCGCAATTGAGGAATTCTATTTTGACATTATTTTTATGTCTGTTGGTGTGGCAGGACACATTGTGTGAGGCTTTTGTTTGCAATTTGGGATATTTCCCTCTAATTTTAAGTGATAGTGACATTTGAAAGAAAATATCTTTCTTACATGCATGTCTATGGGTGTTGATCCCCGGGTCTGGAGTAATTAGCCCAGGGGAAGGGAGATAACTCTAGGTTCCAGGAAAGTCTACGGATGCTAACTCAAGTTTAAGGGAGATAACTCTTTAACTTCATTGGTTTTTAGTGTAAGGTTAAGTTGAATACTCCCCTAAAATCTTATAAACTAAGACATAGCACAGATGAATAAAGTCTGCACTCCAGTTAGAAGATAATGAGATCTTCTGATAATAAGAATGAGGTTCAATATTACTGTTCAATAAATACATGCGCAGTAATAATAACAATCTAATGACTAAGAACAATTTAAATGATATTGTGTGATAGAATGTTCAAACACTGCATTGATATTCATCACACAAAAATGATTTCAGGAAACAGGTTTCAAAATTATTTATTTAGAATAGAGAGTAAAAACAGAGGCAAAATTAAAGTAAAAACCTATATGTATTAATGTCGATTGCAACATGTTTATAAGATGATCACATCAAATTTCATCATCTAATGCCAAACATAGAAGATGAGATATGTGAGCAGAATTGAATGGTTTCCTTCTGTATGTGAAACCCATTTCCTGATATTAAAGAAACAAAATTAGTCAAATCCAAAATTGATAAACAAAAATAATCAGGTTTGTAGCATTTTATCTTTATATTTAATTTAGCATGCTTATTTATAGTCAAGGAAACAGATATATACTTCATTGGTTTCACACAAAACATAACAAATATTATAGTAGACTACTATCATACTTTATAAACAATGCATGTATTAAGCACTTTTACTTCTGATAATGTCAAATTTAATAAATGGAATATTGTAGTTAAGCAAATTAATTAAATGACAAGAATTTAATCCAAATTCCTTGCAAATTTAATTTATAAAATTTCACAAAAAAAGACAATGAAAAACTTGCTTCTTTTGAATTGTAACTGGCATTGCCTGCAAAGACTTATCCAAGTCTAAATACTTACTTTGGTCGACTACCACCAGGGGGAGCTGATGCAGAATCCATCTTTTTAAATGCAGCCATTGCACCACCAGCTCCTGGTTTCGCTGAAAGGGGGAGGATGAAATTAAAATAGATTTACACAAAATGTCAATACATATGTAACATATGAACACCAAGAACAATGTATTTCATTTCACTTTTTTTTTAAACTGCATGAAACACATCTGGTGTGTTGTTTATCATTCCTTTACAATGTAAAGAAAATAAATCCAGACAGAGTTTTTAAAATCCATTAATAAAAGCCACTCTCTTTATATATAGATCATTTCAAGATGTTTCTAAAGCTGAAATTTCTAATAGGATCCTTGGCTGATACACATAAAATTAATTAATTGTCCCTGCTTACGTTACAGAATATAATCAACACTATCTCTCTTCTGTACACGACGTGTAAATACGAAAGCAAGCAGCCACCAATATTCACCTGCCAATACACTTATGTTTCCTCCGCGTGATTCACGGAACTACTTTTGGATACTAGATAATTTTCTATAAATTGATTCCATTGATATTGCATGTATTGTGCGTACAAGATACTCAAACATAACAGACTTTTTCATCCTTCAAACATTAGAGAGTTCCTAAGATTGCATACAGATGGTGTTTATTATTGAAGAACATTTTTGTGAACTTCTGTTAACAATCTTACGGTGCATATTTGAAATAGCAGAAATATCTTATAAAAACAGATATTTATGCGAGCAGCTTTTTACTTGAAGACATAGACACAATCATATGGCAGCTCAGTCATAGTAAGATGGCTTTTAATGGCCTTCAGAATCTTACAGAAACTTTAAGGAAAGTTGGACTATTGCCAGAGGGTTGATTCAATTAAGCTAAAACAAAACTTTCCATTTTTTGTTTAACAAAGTTAACTCACAACAGCCAACTCCCTTAGTTCTAGTAGGAATTACCTCCCTTACACCACTCTTCACTTACATTTCTCAGGGTAGCCAATCGTAATTCATGCATGTATTATCAACAATTCTAGCTAAAAATCTGTATCCAAATCATGCAAAGAAGCATGCATTCATGTCAGTATATATTGCTGCTGACAATACTTATCATTAGTTTAAGTCGGTATATTATATGTCAGGCAGTTGTTGAAGTTTCTAATCTAGTGTTAGAATAACATGCAAGAATGAGACATTTATTTTGTAGATGTAGAAAGTGACATCTTTAAATTTTCATTCACTTCAGTGATCAGTAATGAAATGCTATAAATATATAAACTCACTCCAGTATTACCTCTGATGTGAAGTATTACCAAAACTGTTCTTAGTTCATTTTGACTTTAAATCAGTTGGGAGATAAGAAGCTTATCTTTGTAAAATAATTCCTTTTATCCGTGAGTATATCAACTATTCACATGACATTTTTATCTTTTTAATTGTTTACCTGTTGAAATCCTAGTAAGTATATGTAAGGAGTCTATATCTAGAATAAGTTATATCATATCATATCATTTCCGTGGTAACAGTGTGTGAGAGTTAGTTGTTAGTCGTAAGTTATATTGTATCATTTCCATGGTAACAGTGTGTGAGAGTTGTTAGCCATATATACTTTGTCATGCTGAGTGTTATATACTATTAAGCTTTGGAGTGACTGGTTTTGATGTCACAAGGACGAGAGGATAATATGATAGATGAGATCTATAAAATGTGAACCAAAGTCAAGGGCAGATAACTGTGTTTATAATAGGCTCTCACTGGCAATGGTTAAAGAAAGAGAACGATGTCTGGAAGTTTAGAAGAAAATGAGCATGATGAGATGAATGAATATTTGATCAAAGGAAAACATTAATTTTCATAAAAATTTAACAGCAAGTTTACAGATTGGGAAAATAAATGACAGGTGGAGGATAACAGGGTAATGTATTTGTATATATTGAAAAACTTTCATCTAAAATCAGCAGTAAAAATTTGCAGTAAAGGTTTGCAACAGTCGATGAAAAAAACTGGTGATTATAGGAGATAAACTTTATCAAGTTCGCTATAACTGGAAATAGAATTGGTTCAGAAAAGGGAGATAACTTGTTAGTAGGAGATGGGATGTTTATCACCACCTTAAGCAAGTGTACATGATAGGGAGCAAGGTGTTGATAGGAAATTCTACCTCCCCAAGCTTCAGATTTCTGGGATGTGTGTGTGACTCCATCTCGACTGCTCCAGCTCTCGGTTTTCACCGATATTTTACCCTCGGTTCCGATGCAAGATGCATTTTTAAGTTGCTCTGTCAAAAATTTGGCAGCTTGTTCTAGACAGTGAATGGAATGAAATGAATGGATTTTCTATTAGAACCAAACGCCAAAATTAAATACATTGTAACACAAAACATTAATTCTAAAATGCAAATATAACCACATGTTACTTTATAAAAGGTATTAGCAAAAAACACAAAAATCATTGTAAATAAATTGTAAACTTAAGTGTGTAACAAAAATTGTGAAAACATATGAAAGCAACATAAAGAAATAAAATGGCTTCAAATTAGAAAACATGAAAATTGATCTGAAAGGAGGGATAAGAAATAAAATTCCAGGACAATCACAAAAACATTTCAAAAGACACAAAGTTATGATCACTGCATTAAGTCCTAGAGGTCACAGGGGTCATAGGGGTCATAACCTTACAACAAACGGGGTTGCTGCATCCATAGTGTACATTCACAAATAATTCACATAAATCATAATTTGAGGAGACAAATGCAAAAAAAACTTGCAACTTCTCTCATCACAAAATCTTCAAAGATGCAATTTGTTATTTCTAAACTCATATCATCTTGCAATTATCATACATAGATTTTTAAGGTGAAAGGTTAAATTGAATAAATCTATTAATTTTTTTTATCATTGCAATGGTTACTTAATTTAAAAATTTGTTGAAAAAATAACCAGGTGCAAACACCGAAAGCACCAAGGGAGATAACAAAGATTTTATGTCATGACAACATGCCAGAATACTCAGATATTCTCTAACCTTATTTTCCAAAAGATGTTTTAGCTTGAGGAGATTTGTGATAAGACGCAATATGTAGACATGTTCACTATTATAAAGCAATAAATCAAAAACCCCTCTCCCCTCCTCGTCTTCATTTCCCTCTCCCTTCCTCGTCTTCATTTCCCTCTCCCATCACCCCTTTCTATTCTCTATCATTTTTCTCGTTTAGTTACACCCATCCCACTGTAATGAGACATTCTTACTATAGATGTTATTATGGTAAAAAAATATCAATTCTGGCAAAACACACCATTCCTAACCTTTTTTTCCAGGAGAGCTCTAAAGGGAGCGAGCCTGCCATTACCTTGCTAACATATTTGTATCTATATTGATGGCTCACATCATCAACGGGACAGAACAGCCACGCATTTCTTACAAATTTTTGTGTAACTCTATTCATGCAATCTTATAGCCAGGTGGCTAATAGTTTCATTAACATACATGAAAGTGGTAACCATGGAAACAGCATAAACACAGATCCACCAATCTTCAGAAAATATGCAAGGAAATTCAATTCATTTGTGGAAGGGAGTTGGTGGAGGGTATAAATACAATGGAATCCATCGTGCTTGTAATCAAACATGCATTAATACTCCTCACTGACACCTGTAACAGAGATTTTCATTGGCTGCGGAAATAAACCAGTGTATGTGACGCTTACCTGCTGAAGGCTTAGCACCATAAGCAACGCCTCCGAACCCTGCACTTGTTTCTGTTTTTTTAATAACGGTTGTTCTTGTTCCCCCTAAGAAGCAACGATAATGAAGGAAGCAATCAAGCATGGAGTCTAGAAGCTTCATATAAAGCAAGCAGCAAAGAAATCTACATATATGGTATCTGTGATATCTGGTCAAAATCTTGAAAAAGTTATCATCCAAAATTTCTTTTTTTCATTTGAAATTCTTAATATCAACGGAAAAATAAACAAATTCTATAAATTCTTTAGACAAATTTACTTTTATGGTTTATTGAAACTCCTTGAAAATTAAACATACAAGCAGGATACTTTTTAATTTCTAAATTTGTGAAAAAAAAAAGATGATTGTTGTTAAGAATGTGTTACTTCATGTGTAATTGTATGTCAAACACAACCGTATTTTTCTAATTTCCATTTAATTACTTGCAGTCAGAATGTGACCAGATTTCACTGTAAAGTAGAACCTCAACATCAATTGAAATATCTTTAACTTCTAGTGAAAATGAACTTCGAATGCAAAACTGCATCAAAAGACCACAGAATTAGAGTAAGAACAATTTCGATAGCTCGAGGTGATAATTGAGGTTCAGTGTTGAACAGTATCTACACTAGAATATACATCTATGTTTATACAAGTCAATACATGTATACATTATAGCACACACAGGATACTACCAGTATGTGAGAAAAACAATACTACCACATCCGATGTATTACAAGAAAGGATAGTATGAGATTTAGTGAACATTTGTCAGGTTTGGCAGCAAATTTCTAGGATTTTAATCTCCAAGGAAATGGAGAGCCTAAAGTTGTCTCCTAGAATCCTGAATGGAAGAAAAATGAGGTAAAAATAGGTATGACTTCAGGATTTCTGAGATTATCCTAACCTCCAAGATAAGGGGAGATAACCTAGGAGAAACTCTTGACTGGACAATTCTTCACAGAGACCTTAGAATCTGGTATTCAGTCTGGTTCTAGTTTCTTAATATCATTTAAGTTATTTTAAAGATTTATTTTGTTTTTGTTTGTTTGTTTGTTTTTTCAATAATTTTTTCTTTCATATCATGTGCTGCTGGATACAATTTCAGAAAAGAAAAAGAATTTTTTTGTTTTTTAATCATAAATTTACAGCTTATAACATAAGTTTAACTATGCAAGTAGGATGAGACAGGGTGTATAGCTTTAGCCAGTTCTAAGCAGACCCTTCCAGTAAATTTTGATAAAAATCCATATATATATATACACCAGACAAGTCCTTTGGTAATATGACTGTCTGGTGTCAAGGACAAAACATCCCTGGACTAATCACACTATCAAATCATTAGCCTCATGATCAGCAATGATACCAGATACAATGATCAACTTAGTCAACTGATCTGGATAATTCTCAGGCAAGGATGTCTAGTTATTGGGGAAATATTGAGATCAGGAAAGTCAATATGTCCAATATGTATATAGGTAGTTTATAGAATAAGCAGAAAGGAGCACACACAGTATATATAACTAGGATATATATAACATAACAGCCAAAGATAGATATAGATGTACATAGATCATATGCAGAATATCTGTACCTAGCAGGATATAGGATGCACTTTACCCAGCAGCAAGCTAGTGTCACCCAATGCTATCACCCAGCAGGCCATCAAATATACTATCACCCAGCTGATTATATAACACACTACCACCCAGCAGGCCATATAATGTACTATCACCCAGCAGACCATATAATGTACTATCACCCAGCAGGACATATAATGTACTATCACCCAGCAGGACATGTGATTTATTATCACCCAGCAGTCCATATAATGTACTATCAAACAGCAGGCCATATAATGTACTATCACCCAGCAGGACATGTGATTTATTATCACCCAGCAGTCCATATAATGTACTATCACCCAGCAGACCATATAATGTACTATCACCCAGCTGATTATATAATAAACTACCACCCAGCAGGACATCTGATTTACTATCACCCAGCAGGACATATAATGTACTATCACCCAGCAGGACATATAATGTACTATCACCCAGCAGGACATGTGATTTATTATCACCCAGCTGATTATATAACAAACTACCACCCAGCAGGCCATATAATGTACTATCACCCAGCAGACCATATAATGTACTATCACCCAGCTGATTATATAATAAACTACCACCCAGCAGGACATGTGATTTACTATCACCCAGCAGGACATATAATGTACTATCACCCAGCAGGACATATAATGTACTATCACCCAGCAGGACATGTGATTTATTATCACCCAGCAGGACATATAATGTACTACCACCCAGCAGGCCATATAATGTACTATCACCCAGCAGGCCATATAATGTACTATCACCCAGCAGGACATGTGATTTATTATCACCCAGCAGGACATATAATGTACTACCACCCAGCAGGCCATATAATGTACTATCACCCAGCAGGCCATATAATGTACTATCACCCAGCAGGACATATAATGTACTATCACCCAGCAGGACATATAATGTACTATCACCCAGCAGGACATATAATGTACTATCACCCAGCAGGACATATAATGTACTATCGCCCAGCAGGACATATAATGTACTATCACCCAGCAGGCCATATAATGTACTATCACCCAGCAGGCCATATAATGTACTATCACCCAGCAGGACATATAATGTACTATCACCCAGCAGGACATATAATGTACTATCACCCAGCAGGACATATAATGTACTATCACCCAGCAGGACATATAATGTACTATCACCCAGCAGGACATATAATGTACTATCACCCAGGACATATAATGTACTATCACCCAGCAGGACATATAATGTACTATCACCCAGCAGGACATATAATGTACTATCACCCAGCAGGACATATAATGTACTATCACCCAGCAGGACATATAATGTACTATCACCCAGCAGGACATATAATGTACTATCACCCAGCAGGACATATAATGTACTATCACCCAGCAGGACATATAATGTACTATCACCCAGCAGGCCATATAATGTACTATCACCCAGCAGGACATATAATGTACTATCACCCAGCAGGACATATAATGTACTATCACCCAGCAGGACATATAATGTACTATCGCCCAGCAGGACATATAATGTACTATCACCCAGCAGGACATATAATGTACTATCACCCAGCAGGACATATAATGTACTATCACCCAGCAGGACATATAATGTACTATCACCCAGCAGGACATATAATGTACTATCACCCAGCAGGACATATAATGTACTATCACCCAGCAGGACATATAATGTACTATCACCCAGCAGGCCATATAATGTACTATCACCCAGCAGGACATATAATGTACTATCAAACAGCAGGACATATAATGTACTATCACCCAGCAGGACATATAATGTACTATCACCCAGCAGGACATATAATGTACTATCACCCAGCAGGACATATAATGTACTATCAAACAGCAGGACATATAATGTACTATCACCCAGCAGGCCATATAATGTACTATCAAACAGCAGGACATATAATGTACTATCACCCAGCAGGCCATATAATGTACTATCACCCAGCAGGACATATAATGTACTATCAAACAGCAGGCCATATAATGTACTATCACCCAGCAGGACATATAATGTACTATCAAACAGCAGGCCATATAATGTACTATCACCCAGCAGGACATGTGATTTATTATCACCCAGCAGTCCATATAATGTACTATCACCCAGCAGGACATATAATGTACTATCACCCAGCTGATTATATAACAAACTACCACCCAGCAGGCCATATGATATACTACAACCCAGCCTTAATCTATTGTCCCCAAGGTAACCAACCAATTGGTGGACATGTCACAGACTACAATCACTCCTTGGTAGTTTAATATTTGCTGGCATGCTGTAAAATGTATTATCCCCAAATAAGTTGATAAATTCATTGACTGCAATGTGGTAGCAGCCAACTGACTCACCTAACTTCACCTATCCAGCTTGTGCCCATTGGCACATAAGCCAACTGACCAATGTTACCAAATGCTGTTACCCCGGAGGATCTCTAAAATACTATCACCCAGGTATTAATACCAATGCCAACACCCTACAGGGTATATGATGAACTATTACCAAACTGACTAACACACCAGCTGTTCTAGCTAGAACTCAAGAGCACCAAAGAACCAGATCCTGAACACCAAAATACCTTATACAAAATGCAAACCGATCTGTAACACAGGAAAAGCTACAATATAGTTTTACTAATCACACAAGACAACACACCTGGTATTTCCTCTGTTTTGGAGACGGTGGATGTGGTGGTTGTACCCTTTTTTGCAAGGTCATCATACACGGCCAGTGTTCTTGCCTTGTCTTCATCAGCACGACGTATCTTCTCCTTAAGACTTGCCTCTGATGCCTGCAGTGTCTTATTGTGCTGTTCAGATGCTGTTTTGGCCATCTTGTCAAACTCGGCCAGTGTTTTAGCCTTCTGTTTGTCTGCTTGTTCATGTCTGCGTTTGATGATGTCTTCGTTTTCTTTCTCTCGCTGGATTCTGCGTGCTTCAATTTCCTCTGTGATACACAAAAAGAAGTAAATTTAGGAGATGACGTTATCATTGCTGACTGACAAGCCATTATATACTGATTTGACAAAAGTTGGAAGACAAAGTTGGTATTTGATCTAAAGCTGAAGATGTTGATAGCTAAGATCATGTTTCAAACATTATATGAATCAGCAACTTCATGTTTAACATCTAACTACTTACTATTTTTAATTTCACGCAGCTCTCTCATCCTGGTCCGAATTCTCTTCCTCTCCTCAAAGTCCTCAGTCTTGGAGAGCTGTTGATGAGAACAGAGGAAGGATAATCATCAGGTTGGATAGAATCATGTGACTGTCTATGGCTATATATTTATCATCATGTGACTGGCTTAATTTTGTCATGTGACTGTGTCTCTGACAATATATTATCATGTGATATCAGCAGAAAACACTTCATTTTTAAATTTGTATGTTAGACAAGCCAGGCTTCACAAAAATTTCAGGTACATAAAATGTCTAGGCTGTACTTACAGTGTACAAAGTCAGATGTCATTCTAAGTATGGCCTGTACATACAATATACAAAGTCTGATGTCATTCTGGGCTGTACTTAAGTATACAAAGTCAGATGTCATTCTAAGTCTGGGCTGTACTTAAGTATACAAAGTCAGATGTCATTCTAAGTCTGCGCTGTACATACAGTATACAAAGTCTGATGTCATTCTAAGTCTGGGCTGTACTTCAGTATACAAAGTCTGATGTCATTCTAAGTCTGGGCTGTACTTAAGTATACAAAGTCAGATGTCATTCTAAGTCTGGGCTGTACATACAGTATACAAAGTCTGATGTCATTCTAAGTCTGAGCTGTACATACAGTATACAAAGTCTGATGTCATTCTAAGTCTGAGCTCTACATACAGTATACAAAGTCTGATGTCATTCTAAGTCTGGGCTGTACATACAGTATACAAAGTCTGATGTCATTCTAAGTCTGAGCTGTACATACAGTATACAAAGTCTGATGTCATTCTAAGTCTGAGCTGTACATACAGTATACAAAGTCTGATGTCATTCTAAGTCTGAGCTGTACATACAGAATACAAAGTCTGATGTCATTCTAAGTCTGGGCTGTACATACAGTATACAAAGTCTGATGTCATTCTAAGTCTGGGCTGTACATACAGTATACAAAGTCTGATGTCATTCTAAGTCTGAGCTGTACATACAGTATACAAAGTCTGATGTCATTCTAAGTCTGAGCTGTACATACAGTATACAAAGTCTGATGTCATTCTAAGTCTGAGCTGTACATACAGAATACAAAGTCTGATGTCATTCTAAGTCTGGGCTGTACATACAGTATACAAAGTCTGATGTCATTCTAAGTCTGAGCTGTACATACAGTATACAAAGTCTGATGTCATTCTAAGTCTGGGCTGTACATACAGTATACAAAGTCTGATGTCATTCTAAGTCTGAGCTGTACATACAGTATACAAAGTCTGATGTCATTCTAAGTCTGAGCTGTACATACAGTATACAAAGTCTGATGTCATTCTAAGTCTGAGCTGTACATACAGAATACAAAGTCTGATGTCATTCTAAGTCTGGGCTGTACATACAGTATACAAAGTCTGATGTCATTCTAAGTCTGAGCTGTACATACAGTATACAAAGTCTGATGTCATTCTAAGTCTGGGCTGTACATACAGTATACAAAGTCTGATGTCATTCTAAGTCTGGGCTGTACATACAGTATACAAAGTCTGATGTCATTCTAAGTCTGAGCTCTACATACAGTATACAAAGTCTGATGTCATTCTAAGCAAGAGCAGTACATTTCAACTTTCCCCTCAGTAATTGCCATACATCATATCAATAAAATTGATATAAAATTTTACCAAGTTGAACAAATAAAAGCATGCCTTCAGGTAGAACCCTGTGTTTATATTGTAATAAATGTCCATATTTGTGGATTATTCTTGTGCATTGCTGCTTGTCATGGCCTTTTAAATGTTCAGAACTCAAATGAATATTTTCAGAAGTCAATCTAACACATTATAATAAGGATATTATCAATATAAATCCCAAGATTTATAGAATTTCAGAAGAAACAAAATTTTCTGATGAGATGTAGTGTTTCTTAACCAACCAAACATGGTGATGTACGCAGGACAATTTGTATAACCTTACGACATGTACCAATCTGGGAACAAATTATGACAGGCTTTCTTCAACATATACACATTGTGCATTGAATCTATGACATCACTGATGTATTGTTATTATTTAGCATCAGGATCAGGAATGACAACACTAATACTTAACACTTGTGTAATGTTTTTTATCTTCTTTCTAGTATATTTGTATCAATTTTCTTTTTTCTTCTCCCTCTAATAAGTGTTATGTAAGAATATCATCACCAAATTGTCTTACATAATAATATGGTAATTATTTGTTACAGAACCCCGGTAAATCGTGGACGTTTTAGCATCAGTTAATCCTGTAGTGGCCGTTACAATGTATCGCTTAATTACCTGTGACAGGGGTATTAGAACAGTTAAGTGTTGAACGGCAAAATATCCACCTCAATATTCTGCTGTCAACAAAAATCACCACTACCTACATCACACTACCTAAACCACAGACATTCATGTTGTCGGAGATGTAACATACAAAATACAGTAAATTCCATGGTAGTGATTCTGCTCATTCCTTACTAAACACAATGTTCCTGATATACCAACAGACATACATGCTTTAATGATCAGGAGGGTACAATAGTATGTGTTTGACAGTCTTCATCATGAACATACTACAAATAACACCCTAATCTTATTTTTAGACCGCAACATCTGAAGAAAATATCAACACACTGAAGAAGAACACAAGAATTAATCATATATTTATTCCCACGGATACAAAAATACATATTCACTCCACAAAAATCTGTGTTTTTTCGTTGTTATATATACATCCTGAAAGTTACAGTTGAGTAGCACACTAATGAAAATCTGTGATATGTAATATAAGCAGAGATGAACCGACCAAATCAGATATGTTGTTATGTTGAATAAGGGGGAAAAATTGTACTCTGTTAATGAGTATATCACAAAATCTAGTCTGCAGGGCGGCTTGTCAAACAATATTTTCTGTAGCAAAATGTAGGAATGTACAGGATATTACATTCCAAGTATTCCTGTGTTATCATCAGCAAAGGAAATGCTATAATGAAGTTTCTTAGAGATAATAACTTATAATAGCCAGGGGAGGTAATCCAGTTTTATGTTAAGGGTAGAAATCCTGTGTAACACTCAGGGTAGATAATCCAGTATTATACCCAGGGGAGGTAATCTTGTATTATACTTGGGAAGGTTATTCCTGTACTAGACGGATGGGATTTAATCCAGTATTATAATAAGGGGAGGTAACCTGTATTATACAATGTACTCAGGGGCAGTAATCATGTATTAACCTCAAGAGAAGATAATGTCTTATACTATGGCAGGTAATTCTGTATTATACTTGGAGTAGGTAATTGTGTACAATATTCAGGGGAGGTAAACTTGTATCAAACTCAGGGGAGGTAATCCTGTGATATACTAAATGGGGGTGGGGGCAGGGGGGTATGAGGGCAGGGGAACCTTGTATTATGCTTGGAGGAGGTAATCGTGTAATATACTGAATGGAGTGGGAGGGGGGAACCCTGTATTATACTCGGAGGAGGTTATTGTGTACAATATTCAGAGGAGGTAAACTTGTATTAAACTCAGGGGAGGTAATCCTGTGATATACTCAACGGGGGTTGGGGATCCTTTATTATACTTGGGAGAGGTGATCATTGTGCAATGTCAACTGACACTGATAAAAGTACTGCTGGCTTCTATTCATTACATACTGTCTACTCTCCTGACTATGACGTCGGTTAGGAAGCAAATTCCCAGTGTTTACTTAGAATACTGTAGGTACCAGATTTGTTCCAAGCATTAATACATAGTTATATAAGTCCACTTGACTTTGTAGTAAGACATGTAGGGGGAGCTGAAGTAATAGTAGACACAAGGCCTCAGATTCCAACCCTCAAGTTGATGTCTCAACCCCCAATCACTGACAAGAGAACTGGTTGGTAAAAGTACAGCTTCAAAGCTAAGGCAAAAACTAATGGGTAAGGGTAACAATGAGAGACAGGTTTACCTTACTGACTAATGTATATACAGGGCAAATGGTAAAATCTTTACCACAGAATATATAGAATGACTTAGAAAGAAAAAGCAAAACAGATCTATGATGTAGAACAAAAGTTTTGTGAAATGCCAAGCAATGCTGAAAAAATGCCAACATTAACCAAAAATGTCATAAAAAACCAACTGTTCAACATGCCTTTCATTCCTGTAGTCCAACCATAAAACCTATTTGCCACATTAACCATGACTACTGGTGAATTTGTACCGTGAAAATCTTGGCTGATTCATTTATCAGAGATAGCTATCATCACTATGGCAACAAGACTGAATAATGTTCCAACTGCAGGCACCAATCTAATGGCCAACAGACAACACAAGATGGCTGACAGACAATCTCCGAGGCCTTTGATGTATAACAAACCGGAATACCACACAGAACAAAATAATGGATAGGCCTATCTTATACCATAGTGATGTCTGGTGAAGAGAAATGTTTTTAAAACGGAAAATACAGAAAATGAGTTTCTGATCAAGTCTTAGTTTAATTCAGAATAAAAGTTCGAACAATTAATAAGACTTCACCTCTGTGATGTTCAGACATTAGTGGTATTACACAGTGGTGGAATGGCTGTGCAGGTGGATAACACACTACACTTTGAGGGAAAATATGTTCACTGCCAGTGTTAGATCCCCTGATCAGACACAAAATTAAAGCCTATGGGTGTCTCTGGCCTATCCATGTACGTCAAAGTCGCCATGGAGTCCTCCTGCTTCTAGAATCTTAAATTGGTTGATCTCTTTGATATGTCTGATTGCTTTGAAACATACAAAGGGGAGGTAATTCTTTACCAAAACCTTTGGGCTGGTTAGTCAGTCTAAAGTTAACTTTACGTAATCCAGTCTTTTAGATTTACACTCCTTACAAACTATATCCAAGTCAACAAGAATTATCAATGTAAGTTCCCTCTCCCCTAGATCCTTTATACCCAACACAAAAACCTTTCCAATCACCACAAGGAACACAAAACATTATGAGTCAGTAGATTCAGAACAGCAAGTCTGACAGGAATAAAAACAATTAAGTTCCTACATGATTTTATCGATCCATTCAATAATGTTATCATATATATGAGACGTTTGGATTAGACAAAGTTTTTCTTCAGTTCGGGAGATTTCTATGTCTGTGGTATAGTGATTTTAGTAACCTCATATTCTATATGTATGTCATTTATAATGAAAAACAAACCACCTCTTTCAATATTTATGTAATTTAAACAAAAAACTTTTCTAGACATGATACATAAACTTTCAAAAGATGAAATCTCAGGTTTTTAAAAAGAATTTCTAATTTCATTTGATGCAAAATGCCTGACTAGAGCTTTGAGATTTATTGCACTTTAAATGGTTTCATAAACCTGCTTATCAATGACTACTTGGTCTCGGGTGTTATGGAGAGGAGTAAAACTGATGATGGGTCACCAAGATAAGACTCCCTGCTGACCTACATGCTAAGATTAAGACTCCCTGCTGACCTTCACACTAAGATTAAGACTGCCAGGTGACCTGAGATATTTGTTGGGGGCTATATGCAACTGATGTTGTACTTGGTGACCTCTTTACTATCAGTACCTGTGTATCTTTATCAGAGCAGGATTAATCAGGTGTAAACAGGCTTGTTTTGAACCACCAATAACACTCCCACATGTACAAACAGAGCTTACTCAACTCTTTTTATTCTTTATTAATTTGAACTTCCATGTGGCTAATATATATTTGAACTAATGATCACCATTTGTCATCCAGTCAAGTCCCACAGCAATACCTTACCATATGGTACTTACATATCTATGTCCCCAGTTGTTGTCTTGTCAAGTCTTACAAAAATACCCAACAGTACAGTACTTACATATCTATGTCCCCAGTTGTCGTCTTGTCAAGTCTCACAACAATACCTTACCATATGGTACTGACAAATTTGTGTCCCCAATTGTCGTCTTGTTAAGTCTCACAAAAATACCCAATAGTACAGAACTCAAATATTTGTGTCCCCAGTTGTCGTCTTGTCAAGTCCCACAATAATACCCAACAGTATGGTACTTACGTATTTGTGTCCCCAGTTGTCGTCTTGTCAAGTCCCACAATAATACCCAACAGTATGGTACTTATGTATTTGTGTCCCCAGTTGTCGTCTTGTCAAGTCCCACAATAATACCCAGCAGTATAGTACTTACGTATTTGTGCAGCTCCTCCTCATCGTCCATCGTTTCGTAGGAAGGCATGTTGGTCTTGTCTCCCTGACAACAAGAAAATAAATAATTTTTACCATAGTTACAGACTACATTACAAACCTTAAATCTATTATCAGACATACTGTAATGAAAAAAATAAAAAGAGAAGAAGTTGTTGTTTCATTTGATACAGTTAGTACTGCATCCTTTCCTGTTCCTCTGGTACAGTAATACTTCTTTTCTTTAATGTTATTCAGCCATCTTCTTTAATTTGACTTTTTTATTTTCCTATCATCTCAGTCCACTGAAACTGCACTAAAGCACCTTAATTTCACAAATCCAGCACCAAACAGTTGTTGTGCTCTGCTGATGTTCATACTAAGTGATACAGCAGTCCACGAGACTTAGCCTCATCAAAAATGTTTTTTTCTGGAGACAAAGTCAGAGATGTTAACAGTAAGTAGGTACCTGATCTTCCGTCACTCTGTCACAAAACTTGGCATCCTTGATATAGATATAGAGAGAGGAAATCACCATTCCTTTGTTGGTTTGTAACAAACACCTACACTTAAAACTTCAGCCTCTACGTAACGAACGACAGAAATGTAATATAAAGGTAAGAAAACGATATGTACAGTCAAAGCAGATGTTCAAATTTATTTTTATCTTACATTTTTTCCTAAGAAGATTGAGCAACTTCTTACCCCAATGTTTTACATCTGGAAATTCTAAACAATGCATTGCTCAGTCTTATTACAAGCCTTGTCAACTTGAGGTGTTTTGAAGCTTTACGATTGTGTTTCCTTTGTCATTGTCTATGATATTTTACCTTTTTTTACACAAATCTGATTAAAGATTCTAACTTGTGTAGTTTTAATTTTCCAAAAAAAGTTTTTGCACCATGTTTTTGTCCATAAATGATATTACTACCAAAAGTTGTGATAACTGGACCCCTGTATATGGATGCCACCTGGTGGCCTCACCTCAGTGCCTTAAAGTACATAATGCTATTATTAGTCATTATGTACCTGAACTTCTTGAAGAACAGTAGCAATATATTCTTAGTCAAGGAAATCCCAGTGAGAAACCATTAGTGAACACAGAATTAAACTATACAAGGGTTGACTAGCTTTATGGAATAAAGACATGTTAACCAGACACAAATTTTGGCACGTCTCTTCTGATCTACAAAATATAAATGTTTTGTACTGAATAAAAAAACAAATGTTTCTTAAAGTAATATTATTTAGATTTCAAAACATTATGGTTTAGTCAGAAAACATGATGAGTGGTTGATGAAAGGTGTCTACTTCCTGTTGATTACAGGACTCTGAGCAGCCATCTTTGTCCTGACCCCGGGACGTCTCACTGATACAACAGTACTATAATATTACACACAAGTTAACATTTGAAGATTTGTGAGAAAATGTTTCCTTTTTCATTTTGGCTTTCTAATTTGCTTATATAATATTACCAGTTTAACACAAATTTTGTTGATTCCCATTATTCTCCAAGTCATTGATAACAAACTTCATTTCAGACAAAAATTCTGATGATTTAGAATTAAGCATTATATCTATGCATTATAATTTCATATCTGACACCGATAGAACTGGACACCAACCATGTTGACGGAGTCCATGCCAGTCGACTCAACCTTACAAATTTAATGTAAAATTCCTTTTAATGTTGAACAACATTGTAATATTATCTGAAACACTTTTTGCACAGTAAAGCAATTACAGTACAAGATATTGATAAGCAGGTTGTGTTGTACTTAGTTAGAGTACACACTGTAATTCTACAGAGAGTTGCCCTGGGTGTCCACCTTGGAAACATCTGCTCCATTGAGAGATGATATACCTCAAAATCAGTTTAAAAGTTCAACAAACTGTTTGGAAAGATATAAAACCTAAGGTAGTTTGAACTTGACCTTGACCTTTGATTTGAAACCACGGCAACATGAACACATAAAAAATGTTTACTATCTCGATACTGCCAACTCACGCAGAACAAGGAAGGATTTTTAACATCATAAAGGACACACATTAAAAAAAATTCAGATATTGAAGAATTTACATATATCATTTTCTTGAGAGATCAAAGTCTCCTGAAAACAGGAAATTTTCCTTGAAGATTACAGCCCTGGACAGAATATCTAAACATTTGTGATATTCTGACAGCAACACATGTAAAAACTTTATGATAACTTTGAGGAATATAAACTTTGATGCCATCCTATGCATAAATATTTCATGAAAATGCATACTTTTAGTTTTTAGAGCTAGATAAGCTGCGTGGTTGTGACATGAAGCTGAATGTTTTTGATGCTCGTTAGTTTGCCTGTTGGTTCCATTGTTGTATGCTTTGTTTTCATTTCAGAACATGACATTACTTACTGGAATTGACCAAGGTTTACATAGAGGGTGTTGTTGATGAAGCAAAAGACACTTACTCCTCCAGAACACATGGTCTTATTCTCCTTGGACTTTTTCAGGAATCTCTGTGTAAATCTGTCTTTTGTTCATATTTTGCCCTAATTTTATGGAATTTGAGTTTGAATTATGATTTGGTTGCTATGTTGGTATTTTCTTGACGTTTTATCTCATGTCATTGACTCCTATCAAAGGTGATCACACTTTCACAAGTCTTCGACTCTTATCTGGCTCAAATCAAAGGTGATCACACTTTCATAACCTTTAGATACCCTCAGAAGGCTAACTGATCCAAATTCTATCTTACTGTGTGACTGAAAGGTTATTTGTGTATTGTCTTAAACATCATACTGTTGATGAGGAGAGAGAGAGGTCAACACTGTAACCTCTGCAAGTACACTGTTAGTCTGTACCTTTAGTTGCAAACAGTGACAGCATCCCACTGTTTTATAAAATACACTTTTGATAGGAAAGTCAGACACATAGGGCACATTAATGGAAGGCATATATATATATATCATACACACAGCTAGAGTTCACTGAGGTTGACATTAATATACAATTTTTGAAAACTTTCAGTCTCGGAGTCCAACAAAATAAAAGCTGGTTTCCGGTGAAGTTTCCAGCTCCTCATCTGGAGGAGTACTTATACGGGATGAAACTTCATAGGCCACAGAACAACAGGAAAAACAGAAAGTTCTGGAATTTCTTCTCTCTAAATTCTATAAACAGTGTCTATTATTTGTCTGTAGAACTAATGGGTGTGGGTGGTGTAGAAATAACACTCTCTTTAACATAGATGTCTGGGATTCCATTCTGTGGACGGATATGAAAAGGTATGGGTCACCTGCCTGAACATGTGAATTTTCCACAATTAAAGCTCTTTCGTGCTTCAAGTCAGGCCAACAAGATTGTTTAATATAAGTTGAAAAAACTTGGCTGGTAAAGTTTAAGGCAACGTTAACTAATAAGAGTAGAAAAGTCAAAATTCCTGAGACAGTACCAGAACCTATTTTTACAAACAAAGCAGTCTTACCCTCTATCTATGAGTATACAATGTGCTTTATGAATTTGTTTCAATATTATAACCATTCCAACAGATTTTCTCCCATTGATATATAATAAATAAACAGCACCTGACAAACTGCAGGCTAAACTCTGATAGACAAAACCCTCTAATTTCCTGGAGGTATAAATTGGCTCACAGGAGATCCACACATGGCTGAGGGAGCTGGTAAACATCTACAGTCTTATCTATTCCCAAATCTCCCCAATCTCATCAAATGATAGTGTACATTTCTCAGTGTTTGATCACTTTTTACAGCATGCATCAATCTGCTATATTACGGAGTTTTAAGTGAAATTAAACTGTCCTGTCTTAATTACTTCTTTAGGAGAGATTCATTTGTCAGTAGACTTTCAATGGATTTCAAAACAAAAAGAATTAGAATTGAACAGTTTCATGAAAAAAAAAAATTTTGAAAAGTCAAAGAAAAAAAAAATTCAATATCACAATACAGCAAAGTCCTACATCATAAATATTGTTTACTAAAACCTGACTTAAAGATCAATGTTTTCTATACTCAGCCAATTTATTCTGATGTAAGATTAAATATGAAAGGTTAAGAAATATTCCCAGAACTACTACAGTAGTATATTGTTTCGTCAAACTCTCTGACATGAACTAGCAACCTGTTTCAAATAGATGTACCTATACTGAGTTTTCTAATGTGTGATGTCATATATTGTTATGACAACAATATGACATAACCATCCAATCAGTGACCTCTTGTCTTGAAAATCAATTTACTTAACAATATAGCTTATTTCTAAATATCTGTCTGTCCACCGAAGATAAACAGCCCACAAAAATTACCTTGTAAGAAGTAAAATTCCTTGATTAGCAAGCTCCTTGAAATTCAAAAGTTTCCAGACAACACTTCAGCATCAATTTCCACTAAAACCAGATCCGTGCCTGCTGGTTCAGGATACACAATAGACCACAAGACTTTAGTGGTTTGTTTTTTCTTACATTTTCTGTCTACTCTATCTTTCAGAGCCAGAAAGTTGTAAGAAACGTGTGCTTTCTGTGTGCATGTTGAAGTGTGTACAACTGTGTACACAGGTATGTGTAATACTTGGCACACACAGACCTAAGGCATGCACATGCTTTACTCTACCAAACTGTATACTTGTTGTTCATATGAATCAATTCACAAATATGTCAACACTTGTAAATGAATTTAATACAGGGTTATTTTCTGACACATTCTTCATCCAATCAAATGTATTTTTAACCTGCCAATTAGGTAACATGGTAGCTGTTAAGGAATTTAGGCCAGTGGTAATTTGAATTAGGTATGAGAGGAAAAGACGGGTGAAGCTTTCATAAAGCAGCAGGCTAGAAAGAATGTACATAGAGACCCACTCAGGGTATAGACAGCATCTCCATCAGAATCATTGTAATGATTAACCCAAAGATACAGGTACAGGTTACCATAGTAACATCATAATAATCCACCCATAGACAAATATCTAGGTACAGGTTACCATAGTAACATCAAAATAATCCATCCATAGACAAATATCTAGGTACAGGTTACCATAGTAACATCAAAATAATCCATCCAT